CCATTATTGGTAGCACCATAATCATTATCAAACATTATCGCACGTAAGTCTTAGTTAAGAAACTTGTAAAATTTTATTTTGTAATTCCATCACAGTAATACATTATTTATAATTTTAAAATTTTGCGGAAAAAAATGGAAAACAGTAGAGCATGTCGTGTTAAAACATAGCAGTAAGCACATGTTACTAGTATCAACAGATATTATATTATCATATCATTAAAAGATATTGAAAGATTGTAAAATATATTAAGAGATATTATCAACACATTATAAATTAGTTTTTTGTCAAAAAAATTCATTGTAACAGTAAATATTTTGCTAAAAAAGATCAATGTTGTTAAATAATATATTTATTGTTAAATAAGTTTCTTTTCCATCTCAGGAATTTTACAAAAAAACATTACACTTTTTCACCTTTTACTTTTTTCCTTTTTATGTAATATTTGTTGATGAATCACCTGGAGATCGTTGTGACAAAATACAACTGGACTTCCGCTTTTCTCCAAACATAGCTGCACGATTTCTAACTCGTTTTTCAGAACTGCGTATGTTACATATTCGGGACACGGAAATATATTTTTTTAATTTTTGAAATATGTAAATTGCTACTCCAAGGAAATCAATATTTCTTTCAAAAATTTATGTAAAAAGCATAAATAATGTTTCGCATGTGTATTTATTTTGCTGAAATTGATATGTATACTGACAATTATTAATACAACATTCCTCCATAATGAATTAATTATTCATCGTGGCCTTCCATATTAGAAAGATGATGCGATTATTCTGTCAATTTACCTTCTACTTAGGTTGATAAAAATTTCGTATTAATTTCGGTATTTTTAAAGATTTGAATTATTTCTAAATAAAGATTAAATTTTTTGATTGAAGTGATGAAATGGGAAAAAAAACAACCGTTGCAATTTTGTTGTAACATGAAAATACGGTATGATGATCAACTACATTAAGCATACCATAATCTTGAATGGTGACACGAATATGCACACTAAATGATTAATCTGATTAACAATGATTATGATTGAGTAATATACATCAATAATTGGCAGATATACCTTTGAAAGACTAGCTTGCACCATTTTAAGTCTCATTTTATGGCGCATTTTGTTGCTCAACTTTTCCAGCCATCCATCAGCTACCTCAAGAACCATTGGTTTTTTGGCAATAGGTACATTAAGTGTATGGATTCGAGCAAATAACTTTCCCAAATATTTGGCAATGCTAAAATTTAGAGAATATCATATTGTAATAGTGATAAGAGAAAGAATAACAGTTTAATTTTTAATTTTAGAAAAATCCGAATTTTTTTTTTACCCTGGATATTGCAATTCATCGCAAAAGAGTGGACGTGATGGAATATATTGTTCAAATCGACCGGATGGAAAAACAGCAAAAAGTCGTGGTCCAAGCAATCTGAAGTATTTAAAATTTGAAAATTTATACACCGACATTTTTCAAATATTTCGCAAATAAATGTAAATTTAAATAAGAGCTTGCATTGCGTGCAAATCCTCGAAATTATCCATATTTAAAATATGATCTGCAAAAATTACAACATTTAAAATTTTCTTAAACGTCAAACATTTTCAAATATCTAAGAGATATCACATTATTATTTTTCGTTTTAATTTTCTTCTTTTTTTTCATAGTTTGAATAGACGTTAACATGTTTAAAAACAAACGGGATAAAAAAACTCAAAGCAGAAAAAATTTTGTTATTGGGAACGGAATTTATATCAAATTTATAGCTTTTAAGTAATAATTAAAAAAAAACCTTTCAGAAAGCATTGTAAAAATGACCGCTTCACTGAGAAGACGATCAAGATCATCAGAGCAATGTATGCGCAAAAGTGAACAAACTGGTTCTTCTCCCTGTGGTACCACATTTTCTGGTAGTTCCACCAGAAATAATAAATTGCTTATTCCACCGCTGAAAAAAAATTGGTATTCATTTACATTGAATAATTTTTATACAGAATTAATTTCATCTATTTACTCTTTTTTTGATTTGTTAATTTTTAAATTTTCATATTTTTGAAAGCAAAAAAAGCAATATTTTAGATTACTCAATTGATTGCTCTTTGCATTTGGTATTCGAATAATGTGCACATACATGCAAATAGGAAAGAAGGGATAAAATTACAAAACAATGTATAGAATTACATGAACTTCCATACCTTTTTATTGCTTATTTATTTCAATAATTTATAACAGAACAACTATACTTTTTTAACACTATCTTATATTTGTTTTTGAAATTAAAATCTCAAAAAATAAAACGAACATGATCGGTTTTATACGCAACTGTTCTGGATTGATTGTATTCCATACACCGCCGAGATAACGCGCACAAAGTCCCTGCGTACATACGAAAACATCATACGGAATTTCCTTACTTTTTACATTCGGTTGACCAAAAAGTTTCTTAAAAATAAAAAATTCGATTTGAAAAAAATTAAAGTTAAAATTTTTGTTTGATAAAAAGAAATTACGGACAATGTAAAATAAAATTAGAAATAATAATATATAACATGGTATTTCTCTTCTATTTTTTAATCCAAAAACATTTGAAATAAAAAATGCTAATACTATCAGTTTTATCATCAAACAATTTATTCCTATCTGTTTTTCGACGAATAAAACAATGAGATTATTCAATTTCAAATGAATAAAATCATTTAATTTCTTTAATTACTTCACATATTTCTATCAATTATTATTTTTCTCTAACTTTTTTTGACAAAATTTTAGTTTCAAATTTCGAATTATCAATTTTGTAATGGAAACTTCATCAGCTGAATAAAAAAAGAATGAAGACAAGAATGGACAATTGAGAATTAAAATATGGAAATTTCAGAATGATTAATTTTTGCAACTAATCGATGAAGAATCGTCCACATGAAAATCTTGTATTATATTCTAATTATTCCAATCACAGTTAAAAAAAAAAGGTATTGTAAACAATATATATTAATGCAGTAAATATTAATAATAATACAATAAAAGCGCTCACTCTTAACTTTGCCCTTAATTAGTAATTAGTAACATGATTTGTCGAAATCATGCCTTTCTTCTATTATGTGATATTCTGCAATTAATTTCTGATATTTTCGTTTACAAAAATATGACATTTTGCCTTGCTACTTCTCATTAATAAAAAATTTAATGACGGTAAAATGCATTATTATAAGCTGGTAATAACAGATAAGCAAATGGTTCAGTAGACAAATAATTAACAAATAAGCACCTAACTTTTAGTCATTTAATTCGTAATTAATTCAGTGTATTAATAATTTTAAACCAAACCTTTAATTCAGATGGCGTCGGCATTTTGATGGCTGACATTTTCAACGGATTTTAATTCTGGAACCTGAATCGTAAGCTATTATAATTTTGATCGCAGCTGCATAATTTCTAGCCGATGATTTCAATTTATTAAGCACTTCTACATACTTACAGTACTTATTACAATCAATGAATTACGATTAACAATGATAATGCATTAGAAATATCGACAGTTTCACAATATGTTAAGTGTTGATAAATTGTATATTTAAAAAATTTTCTTGCTATATTTTAAAATTCCAAGTATGAGTGAATTATTCTAATTTCATCTAAATCTATTGAATTCACAAAAATGAAAATCTCCGAAGTGTTTTCAGATTTTGTACGTAATGCTTCCGAATATTTCGAAAAGGCATTATCACATGCTAAGCAGATAAAATTTAACAATTCAGCATTTCCCACTAAATGTCAAAGTGTACTACATTTAACAGTTGATAACATGATTCTATTTTGGAATAAAATTCTGTAAAACTATATTTGCTGTGCTATTTTATTACAAACAAGAATATTCAAAATAACAATTACAAAAATCTCGATGATTGAATACAATAATTTACTCATATATCAATTTATTACATAGCTGTAATAAATTAATATATGAGTAAATTACTGTAAGAATGAATTCTTTTTCTTTTTTTCCTATGATCAATATGAGTGAAATATATTGTGAGGATAAGTTGTCAAATTTAATAAATTCTCGTATAACTGAAATAAGGAAGAAAAGAAAAAACTTCTCCTAATGAGAATTTAATTTCAATCAGTGATTTTATTGATGAACTATTTCATAAAATGATGACATGTTTTTAATCGTCATGATTGTATTATTGTCACTGTGATCATGTTACTGTCAAAATGTCGCACTTCTCAAACTGGCGATATCAGTTCCCAATGTTCGAAAAATGAGGTGAGGTCGGTATGTGTGTGTGTGTGTGTGTGTGTGTGTGTGTGTGTGTGTGTGTGTGTGTGTGTGTGTGTGTGTGTGCTGAAGTATTTATACTGCCCTTTCCTAAATTTTCGTTTACATATGTACATTTCAGTTTTAAGCTACCAAAGAGCAAAACAACTATTGTGCAACATCAGTAAACTTGA